AGAATTACTTGAAACGTGATATTAATACTTTTCAGTACAAATTAATAAATACGATTTTCGAAATTCATCCTATAAGGGGCTAAATTAGAAGAAAAAAGTTTGTATGAAACCTACCTCTGTAGAGATATTTTTGCAGTATTAGCGCGAGCAAAGCCGCGGGTTCTGCTAGTACTGTATAATTTGTAGATATATAAGTTCTTACTCTGTATAAAATAACAAAACAGTTCCTGTTCTAATGGAGTCACAAACAACGCTAAGTGGCGGAAGTGAGTAGAACGATAGATGACTTGCTACTTAATATGGAAAATCATATTAGTCAAACAATTTGTTATAGATGATAGTTTTGAATGGAATGAAGGCACCTGACTAATAAGGGATAGAGTAAGATACGAAACAGCGATTTATTTATCTAATAATGATATAACAAAATCTTTTAATTTTATATACATTCAATCAACATAATATCTGATTGGGTAAAAGTAATTTAAGAGCAATCTTTATTTTTAAAGCTCTCCAATATTCTCGTATATTAATATTATTTTCTATTTATAATATTTTATAATCAAAGAATGCGATAATGTGTTTTTTTTTCACGTAACAATAAACTAACATTTCGTTGTAATTTTCTAACCGACTTTCTATTATATTAACTATTGATAGGTTTGAAGTCGGTGCCTTTAGTATAGATTTCTCAGATCGCGGTGATTTCAAACCTATCAATAGGTAGCACTTAAATACATAATAGTATTTTATTAATATATATTAAAGTATTTTATTAAAATTAATTTGAAGTCGGTTTTTAAAACGTTCTTGTGTCGTGTGATATTGACATTTTTAAAAAGTTTTAAGTTGCTAAAGAATGCGCGGGATGAATCCGTAGCATTTGTGAAGATAGCTCGTATTGAATAAATAACTTTGCAACCTCTACATAAGAAATTTCTCTATGACAGGAATTCATTTAAACATAATTTTCTGTAACACATACACATACGACTAAATCTGACATACCTACGTATGAAATCATTGTAAATAGTTGCCTAAAACTTTTTTTTAATTTTCTTTACGTTGAGAGCAACTGCAGATTATGGAATACCAAAACCATCTCAACATATCTTCTGTAAGACCATAAAGTATAAAAAATACTTCATTACTTCGTTACTTCTGATGTTATTTGTAATAACTAATAATCGGTTGTTACCTACTATTTATTTCAATAGATCATTTCAGAAATATAGTCGTGATTTGTTATACAAACCAAGAGGGTTCATTGTGAATATAACACACACACCACGTCAAAAACGCACAGACACATTGAAAAAGTACCAGGCAGGCACTCATTTCTGTAATACATATTATATATTCCTTTATCGAGAGTTAATTTTACTCTTACATTATTTAGCACAAAAAATACCATGAATCAGCTTCTGTTTTTTACCTTTAAATGTTGCTTATTAAAAAATTATAAAATATGCAGCCATGTAATCAAATATAGGTACTTAATTTAAAAAAGTCTCTCAGCACAACTACTCTATGTGACGACACCGCGATTGATTGGTCGGGATGACTCGTAAATGACCATGATTACGTCGTTTTTATATCAACTATTATTGTACTTGCATTTACGAATTTAGCTTAACTGTATCATAGCAAGTGCGAAAGTTTGATTGATGTTCGTCACACGTAACGGCTGGATAGATTTGAATGATATATGGCCTGCGTTCCACATTGAAAGCGATATCAAGCTTTCTAAAATAAAATTGAGTTGAAAATAACTAGAGCCTAATTAAGTAAATTTCCTTTATCAGAAAGCTATAGCTTAATATAAATCATCCCTAAATAAAACATTGTCTTTAAATAAGAAAAACGACGATAATATAGTGAAAAAAATCTAATGATAAAATAGATAGGTATTTATAGTGCTTTCATTAATTATTATTTAAATAGTTAAATAAAGAAAAATATTTAAATAGTTTAATGTTTAAATTTTAGTTGCAAATATGTAGAACAGCTATTTTGATATAAGACATATGCAATTAAATTTTAATTATACCTATATTATAAAAATACCTATCTGTTTGATTGATATATTGATATAACTTATATTTAATTTTTTATAATTATGTATACAATATTTTAATCTTAAAATAAAATAAAATGTAGGTAACTTTGAAACCAAAGCACATAATGAGGGTCTTTACGAATCTTTTGAGTGAACGTAACCAAATCCACTCACATTCTTCTGATCAATTTAGTAAATTATCAAAACAAATATTTGAACCGTGATTGAAAATGAGATCGCGTAAAAACAAATAAATATAATTATATTAATCGGCGCGCTCGGTTAAGCTCAATGATGTTAAATGAGCAAAACCACAAAATGCTAAAATGGCGCTGCCCGCCTCACCATTATATTGATTTCGACGCCATTAAAGCGAACCGGAAATTAAAAAGAAATAAAAACATATTGCTTTCCCGCGTTCCGAACTTACCCAATTTGTACTGGATTTTCGGTATTTTTGGATAATCGAATATGTCCAACACGATTTTATTGTCGCAACAAAGTTGAAGCTTTATTTTTTATGTGTAGAGCGCATTTTCGTTTGGTCGTTATTTTGATAAAATTCGTAATAATTTCGATCAGAATATAGGGTAGGTAGATTTTATTTGGCATGCCATTATTGTCAGCGATATGATTATTATATTATCGGGCGATAAACGAGCATAAAAAAAGATATATCGGCAATCATCTCGGCAGGATTATGACATCATTACACATTACTGTTTCGTGTGTTTATCGCTTACCCAAGCTAATTAGGTTTCTGATAGGGGGACCATAAATCTTGATGTTTTAGGGCTTAAATGGATTTGATGGTAATGAGATTTGTTCAAGCTCTTCACTTTGTGAGGTATGTTTGCGCTATGACGGACCCAAAGTATTTTAATGATTATTTTGGTAGATTTAGTCTTCCATTCGCATGCTCTACGAACGATCAGAATAAAAATTAGCCCTTGGCACTCTACGGCCAATGAGCTATCCCCAGGCGTTGCTATATTATTGCAACAGATATGACAAACACTAGCTATTATACTTATTATTTTACTTTGACAACTAACTTATGTAGTAGGTTGATTAATTATTTAAAAAAAGAACTGCTCAGCAGAGGTTAGAATCTAGAGGTGATACATAGCACTCACTTTTTTAACCTAACAATTTTAACGTTATTGAAAACCGTAAAATACAAATTAATGTTATTTGTTAATAAACTGCTAAAATAAACATAATCATATTATATAACGCTGTATTATTAAAAACCAAAATGTAAGCGAAAAATTCCCACTCTGGACAAAACTTAGTGTGTTACAATTTTTATAAGTGTTCTTACATTTAATATATCAAAATAGATTTATATTCAGAGATAGTAGATACATGTTTTAGCGAAAATGATTGTTTTACCGCTCGCTGTCGGCGATGGATCACTGAAGGGTTACATATGAAACGCATTAGCGATAAATAGCTAATGGATGACAAATATTTGTGCAAGTTCTCGACACCGTTAAGTACAGTAGATCTACACTAATAAAGCTTTCATATCTCATCCATTTAACAATCCATTCTTTCACTAATCTTTTTAATAGGTGATTGTTTTGGCTTCTATCTCACTAACATATTATTATAATAACAATTGTTAAGTTATATATAGGTTTTGTTATTTTTGAAAATTAGGCATTTGTTAAATACTTTGTATATTCAACAGCCTCCTCATACTTCTCTAGGTTTTTATTAATTTGAACCGTTTCTCATATAAATTTTGCCCCTTTTTACTACTTTATAGGTGGATTATCAATAATTATTTTCTTAATGACTAAGTATGTATTTAAAATAGGAATAGACAGTCATACATAGTTTCAACCCTTTAGGTTTAGCAGTTTGGACTCTAGGTCTAGCGGTTTGGTCTCGGCGAATACGACTTTCTTTATTTATAGAATTTGAAAATAAATGTAGAGACTGTCATTTTTTTAAGTACGTATATATTTTACTATGTTATTAATAACAATTAAAATGGTGGCGCATGAGATACTGATGATGTTGAAACTGTTTATAGAGAAAGATTCTGAAAAGTAAGCAATATTGAATAATTATAATTATATTTTATAATGATAATAAATTAATATATTGTTTATAAAAAATATCCATATATTTTCGGTTTCAGTTTACCCATTAAATTACATACAGTAAATCTGTTTTGACGTACGTACCTACTTACTGATAAAAAATTTCTTCCAAATTCTTTGTCAAATTTTCAATCATTTTTACACAATAGATTACTTATAACATTTAGCGTCCAAAATATCCTATATTAATCATTTTATGATGAAAATACGTGAAAATTGAAAAATGTCAAACCGACGGATGATTATTATAATAATATAACTTTTTAATATCAGAAAGATAACCATTATTGCCATCTAGTGGTGAGAAGCTACACCTAAAAAATATTTACTATCGCTCACTAGATGGCGTTAGATATAATAATAAACACACGTAGTTCTGATTAAATTCAAGAGATGGAATCAATATTTATCAGCGAGGTCATTGATTTAAATTGTTGCTATCTTCACAGCGGTTCAGTAGGTATTCACTTTTTCCCACGAACCAGGTGTATAGTTTTAAGGTGTTTTGTTTCAACTTTGTTTATTAAAAATAGTATACAGTTTCTATACATCGGCAAATTAAATTTGTCTAATCTAACAAACTTTTAACTATTTATTACTTAAGTTGGTTTTTATGTGAATACTTTGTAAAGTTTCTTTTATGCGGTTTGTGAGAGAATTAAGTTAAAAAACAAAACAATTTGAACGAATTGAAGTGTAAAGTGTGACAAGGCAGAAACTTTCGATTATTATCAATTTCGCGGTGTTTATAGATATTAAAAATGAGTTGAAATATCTTTTACTTGAAAGTGAAACTATTTTTAATTGGTGCGAAAATAAAGAGCAGAATGACAACGGATAGGTTTCACAAGTAAGTCCTAATACCTATATACCTACGTAACTTAAGTATTTTGATTAAGGTAGGTACGTATTATCTGACCAATAAATGTGATAAGATTAATTTCATTGATAATTCTTAAAAGTAACTAATAAAATCCTTATATTTCTTTATGTTACACGCAGCGATCAACATTCTAAAATCTTTAACTCTTTATCCATAACTTAATTAATTAAAATGCTTCGTTGCCTATTTTAAATAAATTTAACTAAAAAACTGTTAATTAAAGTAATTACATCGCGCCAGTTCGCATGAAGCGTTAAGTAAAGCATTTCACTATGTCTTGTGTGTTGTACGCGTAGAGTAAAAAAAAAACCATTTGAATATTTTAGGAATGATATACCGGTTCAATGTAATTAATCTCTGTGACTGCCATAAATGCGTTAATTACCCACAAAATTAAATGTTATATAGAGAATTCTTGTTATGAGGATCATTCTCTAAACCTTATTATATACAAGTTTTATTTTGTCAGTTAAAAAGTTATTGAAAAGCCTAATTAAATAAATATTGTCTTTAAAAACTAAGTTTAAAACACACTTTCAAATAACTGTGATGTATAAGAATCGTTAAATCGAATTAAATAAGTCAAAAATCGAAAAAGTCATTAGAGAGTTTCTACTTTTAGGTTTCAACTCGATAGTACTATAACATCATTTTTGATAAAACAAACAAACCCGAATAGGGTTTAACAATAATAATAATTATAAGAAGTAGTTTTTAAAATCGACTTCCAAGACTATTACATAGATAGTTAACTTACAGGTGAAGCTAATAAAAGCATATTAAAACTCAGAAAGGCAAAGCTACCATGTCTAAATCGTGAATATCCCATTTAAAAAATACTAGATACCTTACAAATGCCAAATTCGAACTGCAACAGGACCGAGAACTACTTAGTGTACCGAAAAAAAAGATACCTAGGTAGGTATGTTCTCTGCCTTTTAGACTCAAATCATCAATCCGTTGTTCCATAACAATATCAAAGAAGAACAAACTTACAAAAATACTTTTCATATTATATTATTTGTAGGGACTATCTCTAAGCACGATTTTCAAGTCCTTGTCTAATTAATACTCAAAAGTTTTGTAGGACTTACTCTATAATAGTTGTATGAAAATTCATTCTTAAAAAATAACTAAAAACAACAATTATTATATGAGAATACCTGTTTCGTTTATTTAGAAAGGTGAGACAAGAGATACGAATGTAAACAGACCAACAAGAAAAAAACGTATGTCATTGAAAATAAGCCTAGTGTGGAGACTATAAGATTGTATTTTGCTTAAATTTTGTTATCAAGTTCCAGTGCGTGTTGTCTAGAAATCGGATATTCTCTATTTAAAACTGGATGTGATATCCAATTTCTACCATTAACTAATAGTTCCGACAGGCTTCTTCTGTGTGTGCACATTAAAAATTAAAAACATAAAAAAATACCTGCTGTTAATTAAGCCTATTTTAGTCTTGCGATCTACATATTATTATTAATTTTGAAAATTTACATAAGACATTCCTTAGGCGCTTTTTCACACATTAGTTTGAGTTTAAAAATAAACTATGTTCCTCAGGTTAGATCAGTTAACCGATTAGTAAGTACTAAATCATCATGCGGTTTGTATACTGCAGTTCTACTTTAATGCGCTTATACTTGAACTAGCGGCTCACCCTCGCTTCGCACGGGTTCGTCTCTACTGACGAACAAAAACAAATCTATTCCACGGGAACCGTACATTTTTCCAAAATACAAAGTAGAGATCCTATGTGCTATTCCAGACTATTATCTATTACTGTGCCAAATTTCATCCAGATCCGTTCAGCCGTTCTGACGTAATTGAGTAACAAACATCCAAGATAGGCTAAATGCTAATTAAATTTTTCTAATTATATTATTCCTATTATATGTAAAAGGTCACATTTTACATTATTGTTATAAAATATGCGCGTGAAATCATTATAGTAATAGGTACTATAATAATTTCCAAGAACCAGGTGAATCTGACGAAATGGGACGTTGAACCGTTTTGAGCCCCAGAGCGTGTCTCCTACAGCCTTATGCTTCCGGACGCTGGACAAAGGACCGTGTGATCATTGATCATTGGAAAACAATAAAAATGTGTTAAAAGTAACATGAATATATAAATTAAAAGAGGTGCTATTTCAATGAAAAGAATCGAATTTATAACACAACTGGATGAAGTGTTGTTCACGTCTACATTTTATTAGATACTAGCGACTCACCCTCGCTTTGCTCAGGTTCGTCCCTAGGTATGTTTTAGCGGTTGGTGATTCCCATACAAAATAAACATCTCTGAACTTTTCGAATTTCCAGCAGTTTTTTGGGTTTCCCTATTTTTTATATTTAAACCATCCCTGACAGACCCACAACAAAACAAAAAAAGAATTATTCAAATCGGTCCAGCCGTTTTTGAGTTTTAGCAAGACTAACGAACAACAATTGATTTTTATGTATATAGATGTATCTAGATTTTGGATGCTGAACGTATATAGCTCTTGAAATACTGAACATTGTAATAGAAATCATAACAACAAATAACCTATCAAATTTTTCATTTAATGAAATAATAAAGGTTTGCATAACATATGTGTAATAAAAGTTTAAAGTTGGTATAAAGTACCAAATATAAAAATACTTGTGACTCACCCTCGTTTCGCTCGGGTTCGTCCCTAGCTTGATTCCCCCATACAAACAGAATTTTTTCATCCCTTTTTCATCCCCTTAAGGGATGATTTCCAGGATAAAAAGTATCCTATGTCCTTCCCAGGGTCTCAAACTATCCTCTTACTAAATTTGAACTAATTCGGTTTAGTAGATACAGAGATTACCCCCTACAACGTCACAAACTCACAAACTTTACCTCTTTATAATATTAGTATAGATAACAATATTGCACCCTGCTATACGCTTCAGCAACTGCCAACACATAGGGGCAAGTATCGCTTGTACTCGTATAAAAAGGAAATTAGAACATACAGTCATTATTATTAGAAACAATTTCGCTCTTTGTCTAATCAGCTTATCGATTGTTAATGCAGGTGTTAGGTTACTCGTTACGGTATTGCATATTTAAAATGCAGGAAACGTATGTTTTCCAGAAGTGTTGCCATACTTTAAATAATATCTTTAAATAATTGTAAAACATTTTTTTTTTATTAAAAGGAAAATTAAAAATCAATTTAAAAATTACTTCAGACGTAATGCATTTGTTTTTAAATGTGGGTGTAAAAAGGAATAAGATGGTTTAGTAAAAAAACTGCAGTTCAATAGCCAAGGCTATTTATAATCTGAATATTACATTCAATTAATCATTATTAAAAACATATTATACTTAATCAGAGACAACTTGAGACAAGTTGACAAACGACAATAATTAAATAGGAAATAGGTTGGAATACCAAAGATAGGTGATAATCCAAGATAAACTGGTGATTCACCACATATTTTTTGCCACTTTAGCATTTTGTCGCAGTCCTAGGAACTTGCTCCCATCAACATAATTCCTTTATTTAACAAACAAACAAATTCACTATGACATTTATAATATTAAGTAATTAAAGATAATAAAGTAAGAATAAAATCGGAAACACAAAATTTGCGTTAATTATTCAATTTAAATTAAACTTCGTTAAAATGATAATTTAATTTTACGACCACAGGCAAAAGCATAATTCCATTCGTAAAATAACAATATAAAATATTCTAATCAGTAATATAAATGTAGTAAATTCCTGCAATAAGTCTTAACTATGTATTGATTATATTCAGTATAAGTCCCTTATCTAAATGATGAGGCGTACTATTATCAATATCAGCCCACAATATGACGTCATATCATTGAATCGCATGGTGGGACAATAAGTTAAAAAATTTAAAAATATTTGAAGCCCGTCGTCTACAGGAAAATACCTTGAAGAATCTGAAGATATGAAAATAATGTGATATATTATATGTATTTAAATATTCTTTATTTTATTGTGCACCTAAAAATAGAATTTGTTGTACGGGTAACGGTTTAAGGTTTAGCAATTGTAAAACCGTTAGACGAAAGAGACCTGTAAAGGAAATAAAGACTTAAAAAAATAAATAAAAACCGACTTCCAAAAAACACTAATTAGTAATTACTTTTATTGCTTTTTTTTGAAGTCGGCTTTTATTTTATTTTTTAAAGTTTTTATTTATTCATTTTTAGTGTAGACATAGGAGTAGCAAAGTAAGAAGAGAATATTTTAAAAATCCAGTAGGTGAAAAATCAATCATCCCTATTTTTACACTTAGGGGTGTTTTTGTTTTCAAATTTAAATGGGACCAACTTTGAGGTATTTACCCTATCCAAAAAAAAATGTATCAAATTGAAAACCTCCTTTTTTTTCGTCGGTTAAAAAAAACTAATGAATTTTACTATTATAAAGTCGCAACTTATGTCCATGTTGCCTTATAAAATGGAGTGCGTGTTAGTTCTCGCGACTCGAACGCATCAATATAAAGCGTATTCACACAAGATTGCCTCATCTAAGGTGAAAGTCATTAGCTATTGTAATACCATGATTCACTTTTCATCGCTTCCGGACGACCGTTACATATTATCTATTGTTGGACTTATCTAAATAACATATAACTGTTTAGTTTTTTTGTATGATATATGTGAGTAGTTGCTATTTGTTTAATGATCTGATTCGTAAAGAGAAATTGACTTTTGTACGATATTTTTATTTAATTTATGTCTATTGGAACTAAATTGCTATCCCTACTCAGTCATCAAAGTTCTGACTAAACTGCTTAACCTGTAATAATAAACAATATAAAATGTACGACATTCTAATCTAAACGCGTATTCTACGTCTCATATTTCAATTAAGTTACAACTAAGTGTAAGTACACGAGATTAACATAGTAACTATAGTAAGTACCTACTACAACCAGCTTACAGACGGTCTATTATCAACAACAAGGGTTGATTTTCATCAGAGCAATCTTAAATGTCTCTAAAAGGACTTACAGATTTCGGTCCTGTACCTATTTTTTTCTTTGCGTTAGATCTATTATCTCATGACTAAAATCTATGCAGATAGATAAATAAAATTGAAGTGTCTGTTTGTTTTACTAAATGCGTATGGAGGTACCTACATATATACGGCACTTACAAGAAAACAACAATTTTTAATATTTTTGTCTATCTGCCTGTTTATTCCGGCTAATCTCCGAAACGGCTAGACCGATTTCACTGGCAGATAGCTGATGTTATAAGGAGTAACATAGGCTACTTTTATTTTTGAAAAAGAATTAGGGTTCCGCTCAAAAAAATTAAAACGTACTCGTACCTAGGGACGTAGCCAAGTCAATCGAGGGTAAGTAACTAGTATAAAATATGAATTATTACTAGAAGGAAAAGGAAAACAAAAACAAACCTATCCCCCACGGGAATCGTACATTTTTTATTTTTCCGAGATAAAAATTGGCCTATGTGTTATTCCAGACTATAATCTATCTCTGTGCTTTTCATCTAAATCGGTTAAGTAGATCCCGAGATTACCCCCAACAACCTCACAAACTCACTTTACCTCTTTATAATATTAGCAGGTATAAAATAATACGGGTTGTAATATTTGCGTACATTAAAATAAATTATTGCAGAGCGGCCAAAGATGGCCTATTGGAGGTTCTCCGAGAGGCGACGAGGAAGGAATGCAACAACAAGGACGAGTCCGGCATGACGCCAACATTGTGGGCTGCCTTCGAAGGACATATAGAAGCTCTTAGATTACTATGTGGAAGGGGGTAAGGTTATTGCACTATAAAATATATCTGTTGATAATAATAATAATATATTATGATACACTTGAATTAAAAATATTATTAAAATTATAAACCCACTTTAAATTTACCGATAGAGCCAAAACGTCAATAATACTGAAGAATTTAAGCCGGACGTACGTGAGACACTCAAAAATCGTATTGAATAATTTGCTGTCTGGTGCTTTTGTAAATTATCAGTGACCACGATAGAAGCACGGTAATGTTTATGCATAACATTAGAGTGATAGAAGTGATAGAAGTGACCAGATATTGTTCGTAAATAAAGGCAAATTTTTAATGCGACTTAATTACGCTCAGTACTGCCAAAAATATTACTAACATTTTTAATTAGCTTTCGGTCTGATTTATATTTGGCTAGAATGTCTTAATTCTTATATACATATTACACTTCATATTATATTATACCTTAAAAATATTATAGTTTTGTTAATTATTTAAGTAATTCGGCGCTTTACAACTGAATAAATAATTAATTAAATCCAAAATAATTTACATAAACGACACGTTTGGCTCAGTTTGTAGTGACAATACTAACTGTGCCACAGGTCGCAAGTTCGAGTCCTGCCGGGAGCATTCATATGTGTGATGAGCACGAATGTTTGTACTCCAGTCATGGGTGTTTATATTTAATTTGTGTGTTAATGTCTCAACATATTTACTACTAACATTGCCCGCGGCTCCGCCCGCGTTCAAATGACCAAAAACCAAATTCATAGGTTTTACATATTATTAGTATACTTTTACAATGCAGTTTTTGTATTTTTTTCTCAGAAATGAGATATTTTCCCGTGGTAAAACCCTATATGTTGACCCGGATAACCAGCTATCATCATACCAAATTTCATCGAAATCTGTCAAGTGGTTTTCGTATCGTGATGCGGTAACAGACAAACAGACAAAAATTCTAAAAACTATATATTCGGACTCTGTATCGATAATAATGTTTATTTCAATTAGATTTTCCAAAAAATATTTAATGTTCGACTTAGTTACAATGTTATTATATGTATAGATTATTTATTTATAAATTAATTAATAGTTTAAAATTTATTACGCCCCATTATGATTTTATTAAATACCTACATAGATAGGTATATCAGAAAGGAGTATTATAGCAGATACATATACAACAACAGATACATTTTATGTATGTACAATGAAATTACGATTACCATTATCTTGTCTGATGCAAATCACAATCTGATAAACATGTTATGTGAGCTTAAAATCAAAAAGTATTCACGTGTAATGGTATTCTAAAAATCTAAAGATATTTGGTTTTTATCGCAAGAATAGTATGTACCTACTGTGTCTATTCAAATACCGTACACATATGTATGTTGCTTGTCATTGGAGAATGGAGAAGTTTCGTGATGTTGCTAATATCATAACTGAATTATAATATAGATGAAAAGTAATAAATCAGTGTTTTTTTTTAAATTTATCAATAAATGACAGTGAAAATAATTTAAACGGTCGTTCAGGTCGTGTGACGCCACGAAATTATGCTTAAAAGCGTTACCTACTTTATAGTTCCATAACTTTTTTATTTGTTGAAATATTCTTTCATATTTTTGTTATATTTTTATATTTAATACATAAAAAAAATTGCAAATTGCGAAAACAAGCAATTAGTAAGTATTTACTGTCAAAAAGTTTCAAGTTAACATTCACAAAGTAACTTACATATTATATTGATCTTAAATTTTCTCCAACATTGGGCAGACTAAAATATACGCATATAAATACCTTGCGTGCAATTTTATCAATCAACGAATTATTAAAATCTACTTGTATCAAAATTTTGCCATTCTAGTCATTTCCGTGTAGTACGTAGACAAGTTTAGATTTGCCACAGTTCAAAAGATGATCTATTTTGCTATTTTACTACTGAGTCTGCATCCTATAAAACGAGAACTCAGAACACAATTTCTATTGAGAAGTTGAAAGGTTAATTGATTTAATTTAACACGTCTATAAATTTAACGTCTAAATATTTATACTTCTAAATTCTAATATAATTGCGAAGATAAGAATTGCATTTTGACAAAAACTAAACACACACGCACGCACATATACATACACACACACACTTATTTATAATTTAATATTAAATTTCTTGTAATTTTAGGGGTGAACCGGACAAAGCCGACTACTTCGGAAATACCGCCCTGCACCTAGCAGCCGCAAGAGGTCATAAGGAATGTGTAACATTTCTGGTGAACTTTGGTGCAAATATGTACTCGTTGGACGTCGACGGACACACGGCGCAGGAGTTAGCCGGCATCAATGGACGAGAGGATATATTGCGTTTCCTTGATCAAGCCGCTGGGAAATTAGAAAATAATGACAAGTTAGAAAATATTATTTATTACGAATTATTTACTTTTTATCTCGTTTAAGCCTGCAATTAAGGTCCTTAGCTCTTTAGATGAACTTGAAGTTTTCTCATGAGTGCAGTGCAACAGAATAGCCATAATCTAATAGAATAAAATAAGAATTACTAAAAACAAGCGAATTGACGATATTTTAAATAAAATTATGTCTATAATACCTTTTCAAATTACATAGCTTATGCTAAATATTTTCTTAAAATAATCAAATATACATACATATATAAAGAATAACTAATCGTAACACTGCACTGTTAAAATCATGATTATGTTACAGAAAAAAGGCTAAATCTTTAAAGGAGAAATCCAAAAAGGAGCATGAAAAATTACAAAAGCAGTACACCAAACGGCAAAGCAAAGCTGAAATATTAGCAGAGAAGGAACTAAAGAAGTTAACCAAGGAATGGGACAACGGTTATGAGGAAGCCTCTACAATGCCTCACAGACCTAGCAATGTATTGATGGCCCTTAAACAGAAGATGACTCGGTCGTCTAGTCAAGGTATTATATTTTAATAAATAATTATATTTTCTAAGTTTTCAAAGTTACATTTGTAAGTGTTAAACTCCATTATAAGACATGATAATTTTTGTTTAAAATTTTTTGAAAGATATTGAAATGATGGGACCCTCTAACTTAAACCTTCTTGAGGTTTATCTGCAGAAGCCAGAGGGATTCCACTCATGTCATGTATACTATTATAATTATAACAGTCTCGCTAACGAGTCTCTCCCGTGACCATGACTGAAAAGCATTCAAAACGTCGGAAACCAAAAATCAAAATAAATCCATAAAATATCCGCTGTACAACTAAAATTACCTATATAAATAAAGATCAATCGCTAAATGTGTTGCTTAGCGCAAAACTCGAGAACAAATGCACTAATTCGGATATTTTTTTATTCACATATTCGCTAAAGTCCGAGGAACGAAAAATTGGAAAAAATGCCAGGAATAACACCGTATTTCTAGTCGGACCTGCTACGTACTTGATTTGACAGAACGAGGTCTGTCGTGTCGTGTCAGCAAGTTTATAATAAAAAATATTCTTGCGTTTAAAAAATATTTAATTTTGTATTTTAACGATTATTTGAAATAATAATAAACTTTAATTTTTTTTCTTTAGTAATAAAATCACTAATTTAATTTAATCAAAAATTTGATAATCACTTATTAATTTCCAGGTAACCTTTTAGACGAACAGCCCCGTCCGACTTACAGTGCTTTAGTAGGAACAGTGAGCTCTGGGGCTCGAGGCCGGGGGGCAGTTTATAAGAAAGCCCTCGCTAGCAAACTGAGGAACGGTACTTTAGGAAAGAATACGGCAAATAAAGATGATTTTAAGGTAAGTTTTTTTTAATGCAATCACAATTGTCAAACTTCACGTATGTAGAATAAAAGTTACCAAATAAAACACCTGAATTAATCATTCTTTAATCGTGAAACTTCGTCACCAAAACATTTTTTGTGTCAAGTAGCAGATATACATAACATGAGTCATGAGTATCCATGATAAAAGAGGCGTAACCGAAATACATTTTTTTATTAAAACAGTAAACATTTATACTAAAATATGAAATACAAATATAAGTCCATAACTTATATGAAAAAAAATCTCAATGTACACAACACAATTTTTTATACACATATCTGTGATCTACGGTACTCCCCACTAAACGTATGGCTTAAAAGTAGCGACATTCGCGACAATATAACAAAATTATGCTAATCAAATACTACACATATCACGATTAAATAAGTAAATAAGTCATTAAATTGAAATCGATTCATCAGTTTGGGGGTTACGGTGCTGCAGATAAACACAACTATTTTTGCGACGGGAAATCCCGTGTCTCGCAACTCTGTTATTTTCATGTGCGTATCATTTCCAATATAATTACCACTTGTGTTACATTAAAGGAAAACATCGTGAGTAAACCTCCTATGTCTGTGAGACCCTAGCAAATTTTCGAAAGACATGTGAAGTCCGCCAACCCGCACTTGGCCAGCGTGGTGGACTATGGCCTGATTCCCCTCGTATTGAAGGGAGGCCCATCCCAGCAGTGGGACGTTAAAAAGAATTGAATACGTATATATATAGTAAACACTGACCAATTTCTAGGTGGGGGAAGTAGAAACAACGGGTCGTCGTTCAGTGACCTCGCTGAGCGGACTGCGACGAGACTCGGAGGTGATGTACGTGGGCACTTTCGGCGCCGGCCCGCAACAACGCGGGGCGGTCGCGGATGTCTTCAATGATACGACAGATACAAGAAAACCTACGCTCACTAGGTATGTATAGAATTTGTTGTTAGGTATGTATTGTTACTTCAGGTCTTAGTCTGTTTACTGAATTTATCCAAATTCGAAAAAAAATCATCCAACTAAATACTAAATTTGGCTATACTTTATTCTTTATTATATTTGTCGAATGCAAACCTGGAAACGTTAGCATGATGATGTTCTTTTGTATAAACTTATAGGTTATGTAAATGCGAGAAAAGCATTCCATTGGAAAATTTATTTACGTACTAGCGACTTACACTCTCTTCGCTCGGATACGTCCCTAGATACGTTTTAATTTATTTAACGGAACCATAATTCTTCTCCTAAAATAAATGTAGCCTTAGTTACTTATCTGCCAGTAAATGTCCCGGCAAAATCGGTCCAGCCGTGTCGGAGATTAGCCGTAACAAACAGATAGATAGAAAAAAAGTGTTTTTCTTACAAGTACCGTATAATATATTTTCATATGTATTTAAGTAAAAAGTTATTATTTTGACATTATGAACAGACACTTCAATTTTTTTTATCTGTATAAATTTACTCTTTTTGCGGGTTTGTACAATAAAACTCATAAATTCTTGGAGTTACCAAAGCAGGATATCTATACATATAATAAAATTGTAACTAAGCCGAATCTACATGAAATATTTTTTGAAAAATCTTATCCAAACATTATTATCGATACAAAGGCCGAATTTATAGTTATTAGAATTTTTGTCTGTCTGTCTGGTACCACATCACCGAAAACCACTGGAGGGATTTTGATGAAATTTGGTATGGTGATACCTTATTATCCAAGTCAACATATACTTTTTACTGCGGGAAACTATCTCTGAGAAATCTATACTAAACCTTAAAACCTAAGCAGGGACGAACCCGAGCGGAGCGAGGGTGAGTCGCTAGTATTCATATAAATGTAATATCTTTTTTTAATTTATTTTTAAAGGTCGGCCAGCCAGCCAGATTTCTTAGCGGCCATGCAAGGCGAAGACAGCGGCATCGGTCAGGAGGTCCTTCTGCAGGAACCTGCCAGTATTTTCGATAGACCTGGCTTTGGGAGTGTAGCATTCAGGTAAACTAAAAACTTTTATTATATAGTCATTCATGACTTTTAGTTTTTTTATAAATATTTCTTATAGGTATGTCGAATTGTATAAGATTTTTTTGGTTCAAAAATTACAAATTTGTTTTTTATAAACAGAAGTGTTTCTTCAACTTAAAATCCTTATTACACTATTTTTGAAATCCAATGAAAGCATTTTTCATTCTCTAAAAATGATATAATAATTGTATTTAAACAAGGCTATCCTCACTTTACTCAGGTGCATCTTTAAAAGGCTAAAAGTAGCCTAAGTTAACCAAATCCCTCTAGCCATGCGCGAAGGAGTAACAGATACATAAAAACAAAAATGCATCTTATAATAAATGATAATTTAAATAATAAACAATTAATATAATTTTATTTGAAGGCGTTCAATAACAGCGACCCTGAGCGCTTTACCAGCCAGCGAGGAGCTGTCCATCGGGTCGGCGGGGTCGCTGGCGGCGCGCCACGCCTACCAGCCCGCCGAGTGGGCCTCCACACAATCAGGTACAAAGATTTAGGTGTATGCGCACAACACCGTCTCATACCATAACCGTGCTAGAACCATGTCAGGCAAAAAAATATTCTTTGTATTGAAAAGTATGAGACTCTGCCCACTAGACCGTTCCGTCACCGACCGGCACCGTCGCGTGCCATGCACGGAGCGGTAACAATTGTCGGCGAGAATATTTAGCCGGTGCCGGTACGCTCCGTGCCTGGCACGCGACGTTACGTGAGCATACGCAGCACTAAAACCGTTATGTACGGGTATGGTACGCTGTTGATACAGTGTAGTGAGCAAAGTAATCCGTGCCATGCTGGTTTCCGTGCCTGACTTTGCCGTGAGTTTGGGCGACTCAGTGAGAATGGCCATTACTTTCTTTAATATTATGATAATTAAATTTCGATTATATATTTTGCAGGTAGTTCCACAATAACATCCGATGAAGAAGGAGAAGCTGACGAATCTGGATACTCGTCTCTAGAAAGATTTCTTACCGCATGGGGACTGTCACAATATATACAAAAATTCAAAGACGAACAGATTGACTTAGATGCTCTAATGTTGCTTACTGAAAGCGATTTAAAATCCTTAGGACTACCTCTAGGACCGTACAGAAAATTAGTGACTGCAGTACAAGAAAGAAAGCAAGCGTTATCTCACCCCGGACCTATGATTGACACGGCTATATAGTTTATAAAATTATGTATGGTTTGAATTGTCAATACTCACAAATTTTAAGAAAAATTATTTAAATGATGTATTTATTTATACCAGATCGTTTGTGTTTTTAACTGTTCTATATTTAACAACTCATATACAAAATTAAGTAATGAAATATTCAATCGGATAACTTTATAAAATAGCCTCACGTTTCACGTGAACGTATTGGTACATTTTTTGCAAATTAGTGGGACCATAAACATGTTCTTAAAAGATTTAGCCAATGATGATGATAGGAAAAATATTAATTAACATGTAAGATTAAGAAGGCCGTGGTAGCTCAGTGATTAAACACGCTGGCTTGGGAAACCGAGTGAAGCTGGTTCAAATCCCGGGTCAGAGATGTGAAACCTCTGATATTTTCATGTGCGTCATTTCCAACGTGATTACCTTACGGTGAAAGAAAACATCGTGAGAAATCTGGATGTCTGAGAGAGCATAGCAAGTTTTCGAAAGACATGTGAAGTCTGCCAACCCGCACTAGGCCAGCGTGGTGGACTATGGCCTGATCCCCCTCGTATTAAAGGGAGGCCCGTGCCCAGTAGTAGGACTTTAAAGAGGGCTGAATACATACATAATTTAAGCGATTTGGACCAATTGTATACAAACTAGTTCTATGAAATGTGTGTTTTATAAGTAATATTTTTTTATATATTTTTTTGTAATTTGTGTGATAATTATATATAAAACAAATGCTCAATACGCACTTTCGTTTGATCATTTCTTTGTTTAGCACTTTGTTTGATTAAATCAGTTTTAATATAGAATCAATGTAAGTAATAAATCTTATGTGATGTGATAAATGCATTCCATTCCATCCATTCGCCATATTAAATATTTTTAAAATATACCATTTTATAAATATTTCATGTATTTTATTTACTTCAAATAACGTTTTTTAACTTTATTTAAATCCTAAAATTTTATTTTAAAAATCTTCTCTTATAATTATCTTAAAAATATTAACAGCCTTTTTGGTCTAATAGTTCTACATGCGGCTCCAGGTAGTCTAGACCTCAAGGTTCGAGCTCCAGGTCGGGCTAAATAGTCAATAGCATGAACGAATTAACCACATTTGTCCATGGTCAATAGTTACTAGGTTTTTCTGTTAAAAATTTCGCTATAATATCGAGATTAGCAGCCATAGCCCAAGTCAGTCACGATTTTCATTTCTATCAACATTCTAAAGTGTTCATAATAAAAAGTTGTAAAACAAAAAAGACAAGATCAATTTATAATTTTTATTTTCGAAATTTAAATACAAATCAAATGGAAAATATTCTAAAAAAATCTCCAATAATAATAATACATAGTACCAAAATATACCTAGATTGATTAATTTACAGTGAAACTTAACTAAAATCAAATACATATTTAAAGTGACTATGAAATATTACATACAATATATTCCACGATACCTATAAATAAATGAATTTCGAATGTCAAGGACGGATTATAATTTCAGTCATCATAGTCCAACCGATACATAGCGTATATATAGATTTAAAATATACAAAAACTAAAATAAACCTTATTGGATTGTTGTAGAAAGTAATGTAAGATTTTCAAGTCTGAATTGGATATTCAGATCTAAAAACTTACATACTTATCAGTTATAATTTAAAACAGAAATGTCGAGTTTATATTTTGTAATTTTACCTAATTTCATATTTAAACTATAACATCATTCTTCAGCTTCATTTAATAACCGGGCTACTAAATTGTGATCGACATAAAGTAGGTTTACTGTTTAACTAGAAGATATGTTTTATTCTTAAATATACGTAAAATGAGCATTTAGAAGTTGAAAGGCGCAAACCTTTCAAGAATTATTTACTTCTTTAGATCTTACGCTAACATTTGTTTTGCGATACTTATGGCGGAGTCGTGACGACTTGCTCCTACATTAAAGTACCTATTTCATTTAATAAGTACACTTTGATGATTTTTTATATACTAAATTCGTTATTGTTCGTAAAGTTGTAAAAAAATGGAAACGGATCAAGTTTCGAAGTGACGGTGGTGTCAGAGTTTCGTAAAGCCGTGCTCAGATGAAAAGCAAGATGTCATTCGATGTTGTCGTCTTCAAATATATTTTTTTTAATATAACTTGTGATGATAAAATATCAGGTAACAAAATATTATAACGTTATCATTTAATTTAAAATAATATTAAATTTCTTCATACAATACAGATTATAAATCAACTTTCAATAAATTAAGCTTCGAACAACACTTGCAAATTCCAATATAAAACGTGCCAATAAGTTTAAACTACTATACCAGATTCGGGCCACCCATTATAAAGCAGTGTATGATGAACAGTATTGAAGAAACTTTTTAGGATAACATAATATGGGTGTGGCGTCATACACTGTGACGGCGTTCTTTCGAAACTCGTTACCATTTGTATACGAGACACTCGCGCTAATACATGAATGCTAGAAACAAATTATTTTTCGACTGCTTCCTCTTAAATCGATTGAGCCTACAATTATCGTCGTGGTAGTACGCGTATTCCGGATATGGTATATACGCACCAGTCAAAGGGTCCATCGGGACCATTATGGGGAGGTCCATCATGGACGCTGGCCGCTCGTCTGAGCCGGACTCGTATCCCTTCGGCTCAGCGTACTGCGGACTGACGCTTTCGATCTGATTTTCTATTTCGTGGCTCTGGTTGCATATCGGGACGGACCGACTGGTGTCCGCCGACACGTTGGACCGCGACCTCATCATAGGTCTTGTCGAGGAGAAGTCTGTTGAATGTTGCAAGCTTTTCGATCTCGGACGGGTTTGGTTTGGCGTTTCGTCTATTCTAGAAAGCGTGTGCCTTCTTACGGGCCGGTACACTTTCCTGTCGCCTAACTTAGGTCTTTTTATTTTACGGTGGGAGTTGTATGTTTCTATGGAGGGGGGGTTGTATTGGTTTCGCGCGGGTGCCTGTGGTGCGGGCGCGTTGTACGCCACTATGTCCCTCATCTGGTCGCTTGCTCAGTAGTTGTAGGGTCCGTACTGCGAGCCGTGGTAGTAGGGCCCGGGGTACGCCTGGGGCGGGGGGTACCCGGCGTACGCGTATTGTTGCTTTTGGGGGTACACTGTGGAATTGTTGATATTGATTAGCTGTGTTTTTGGGTTAATACAACATGACAATTAAATTTATTATTTTTCATTTATTTGTAATAAAATGTTTTAAATAAATTGTGGATTTTTAAATTCTTCATCTTTTTTTACTTAATTTGAAATTGTATTGTAATCGCATATTATTTAAGTCGTTAATATTAAATTATTATAGTAATTCGTCATAGTTACATTAAACAACATGCACCCAAGAATCAGGAAAACAGATTGAAATTTGAATATGTACAAAAGGCATTTAGAAAATTGAGTATGTGTGTAATTGTATTGCCGCCACTAGTTCAAACTATGGTAAACTCCAAACAAACCTTATCTTATTTAGAAAATTAATAACTAATTACTGTTTCTAACGTTCTAACACAAAAACTTTGACCAAGATTTTTTTTTAAACTTTTTGAGACAAAAAATAATCCTGAAAACCACCACAAAAAATCCGCAAAGCGAAATGAAAAGCCAAAATCCAATTGTTACCCGGCATAAGGTACTGCATGTTAAGCGCCTCCTCGCGCTCGCGTTCGCCGCGCAAGCAAATGGCGGCCGACGAGAACAAGATGGCGGATAGCAGCGAGAGCCCCACGCCGCACCACGCGACCATGTACGACCAGTCGTACCACACGCGGGCGTTATCTCGCAATATCTGGTTTATACCGTGTGTGTGTGTGTCGTTTTTTTATTTGGCCAGGTTATTTTGGATGTGTGGGTAGTTGTTTGGGTGTGCCAGTTTTTTTTTGGGATGGCGAAGGTAAAAATTTTGTGTATAATCACAAAATGTCGATTTTTTTAACATGTTTATGTACATTTTTTTTATTGTGACAGTAATGTATAAGGGTTGTGGAATGGATAATTCGTTGTATGTGCAAGGGGTTGTTGCAATGTTTTCGCGCAAAATAAACGAATTTACACGCACATTTTAATGGTGGTTTTAATTATAAATTATAGTCATAAAATAACATGTATGTATGTGTGTGTGAGTGTAGAAAGTAAAGATATTTTGTAATTACAAATGTGCATGAAGGCATGTGAAGTGAGAGGAAGTTGTATGGAAGGAGTACGTTATGATCATTATATACATATCCCATGTTAATATTTAAGCAAGTTAGTATGGCGTTGGCGTAAACCAGATATTAAGATAGCGCGTTTATAATTAATGCATTATCGGTCGCATATCCGTCGTTATACGCAGTAGCCACGTTTCAGAGAAACATGAAAAGAAAAAGAAAGCATTTTGTTAGTATGTTATACTTACCTGGTGTAAATAAACTAAGTTAAATCGGCCTTCATCTGTAAACTGTATTATAAATGTTTCAATATTTAATATTATATATAATGTGGAATACTTAAATATAATAAATAATAATATGAAATTAATGTAATTATAAAATGGACGATGATATAATATAAATATAATAAATACATACAAAAAATAAATGTTGTCGTAGATATTAATGAAATAGAAGGCACATGAAACAATTTACAAAAGATCTTCTTATACATCCGTAACCGCCAAGCGTTAATCATTCACCGCTTCATAAAATGGCGGCCATTCACAAAATGGCGTCGCAGTATGGCGGTCTAACCTGGCATTATGTACTGCACGTTATTCTGCTGTTCACGACGCTTCTCTTTGCTGAGACAAATGGCCGCTGAGAAGAAAAGAATGGAGCTTCCAAAGGAAACACCAACAGACAACCAAGCGAGGATGTACGACCAATCGTACCAAATCGACGAGTAGTCTTTTAATACCTGTTATGGGGTTGAGTCAAATACTTTCAAAATGTGACAATAGTAAAAATTAAGCACCTAATTGCCAATTTCCTGCTCATAACATAAGAAATTACGGATTCAATTTATATATTAACTGTATGTTTTTATTTTACTATTTTATTGAATACAAATATTTGTTACTCATCGTCACAAAATTAGGTTACATTATACGAGAGAATCAAGGATGTATACATCTACTCAAATTATAAATAATATCACATAACAATATTTTATATTACTTAATCTTATTTAGTTAAAATGTGAAGCAAATATATCTTAAACTTTTATATAATCGTAAAACTCAAGTCTCACAGTTAAATACAGGAGCAATAAATTTTAGGGACCAAATAAACTTACGTTAGGCCATTGCTGATAGTATTCTTCGCCTACAACCTTTTCCTTTTCGTAAAACTCCACACCATGCCATAATGCCATAGCACCCGCAGACAGCAGACCTGAAAATTATTATAAAGAGATAGAATTAAAAGAAATGACAAAATAAAGAGTTATTTTAAGTAGTTTGTTAATTGGTAAAATTATTAACAATTACCGTTTGTAAAGTAATTGTATAATATGTCATGAACATTAAAATAATAAGTCATAGGTATATTTTAAAATAATAGAGCTAAAATTTCCTATGTGGATGGAATCCGGTTCTTTCTCCATGTATCTCTTATTATTATTAAATAATACAGAGTATTGTTACAAAAATATCGAATCCGTGTGTCAAAAAAATATCTTTCTTAATAGAAATTAACACAGAGGTAGGGTTTCCAAAGTAGCGTTTCCTTTTTTAATATTGTGTGAAAACTCACTCAATGGATCTTAATATAAATTAGTGTACTTATTTATATAAGGCTTAGCTCAAAACTGAGAAAATAAGAGTTTTCTAAAATCTCAGTCCACATCCATAGGAGTACGTTAGTCTATGCGTCACCAGGGTCCCTATTATTTAACTAAAGGGTCTAGCCGTACTTCCATGGCGAAAGTGCCCCCCATAGGAACCTATATCGTAACCAATGTAATATTGTTTAGGACACTAAAAGTAGTTGATCCAGAAAATATTAGATCTATATCTTAGTTAATTGAGGAGGCATTTGAAAAAAAGTGTACGGGGGCGACTTTTTTTTCAAAGCGATATATCTTAGTTAATTTCAAAGTTAGCATAATAAAACAAAATGTAAGTGTTATAATAGGCTCTATAGTTCATTTTATAGCTGTTTCCTATGGGCCAAGCCTAAATAAAAGTATTAAAAAAGGCAAATAAAAATTTTGTTAATCGATTTCTATCAGATATAATTAAATTACCACTTTGAAAAAAAATACATAATAATTGTCTATATATTATCTAATAGCATGCCAAGTTTCATTAAAATCCAAGAGGGGCAACATGTCAAAAAAAAATCAAAGTGAGCAGGCACTTTACGACCACTATGTTGCCGCTTTTATCTTGCATAACATTTTGGACAAACTTTACCTCTTTATATTATATTTGAGAATAGATTTAACATTTTTCTCATTTAATTGAAACCTAATAATCTAAACTGAGTAGTATAAGCCCTAAACTATAGATACTTACAAGTGACGAGCATAAGTATCGCAGTGGCGGTAATGTTCCCGGGACTACGCTTCCAGCAGCCGACCACGCCTGTCCAGAACGCGATGAAGAGAGACAGGAAGGCTACAATGAACAGCGCCACCGTGGACCGAGCCATGTGCAGCCTGAAAAATCAGAAAATATCATTGAAATAATTGTTTATTATAATTTTTTTCACATATGTATCACTACATATTATAAAACAAAGTCCTTCGCTGCGTCTGTCTGTCTGTCTGTTCGCGGATAAACTTAAAAACTACTGCACCGATTTTCATGCTGCTTTCACCAATGGATAGAGTGGTTCTCGAGGAAGGTTTTAGGATATAATTTGTTAAGTTTTTGTATACATCGGCTAAAATATAACGATATTTGTTTGAGGTGTCGGAAAAAAATAAGCCGCCTGGGAGCTTTCAATGAAAACGCTGCCTAAACCCTTTGAGATATAACAAAATAATGTATGGTGGAGTTGTGTATCTTATACAGGTCTACAGAAAAGTCCGCGATGGCATATGTCTATCTCTTAAGGATAACATACTATATATATATACACACATATATATATATATCTCCATTTTAATACCTAGGGACAAACCCGAGCGAATCGAGGGTAAGTAGTAAGCGAGGGAAACTCTTCGCACGGGTGCTTCTCTAGATGTCTTTCTACCATAGATTTTATTGCATTATTTCAAACCGTTTTTTCCGCCTTTAAAAAAAGTTATAGATTAAAAATTATAATTTGTTTTAATAAATATTATAATTAAATACAGTAATAATATTATTTATTTAATTTTAGCTGTTATTATTATAGATATTAGAATTTTCAAAAACTTTATATTATTTAGTATTGTTATTACTATAATATGTATATCCACAAAGAAATTAAAAAATTAAAAATATTAATTATTTATTTAAGCAATATTATTGTTTTATATGTGATTTTGTCGTTCAAAAATCGTTCCATGGAATGTTTTTTTTCTTAGGGCGTGCACGGGGCCCTAGTCGATGCGGGGCCCCTAGGCCGTCGCCTAATCCGCCTTATGGATAATCCGGCCCTGATTTTTAATAGCAAGTTTTTAATGAAACTTGAAGTATAAATAGAATTATCAGGATAAAGGTATATGACGTAAATAATATAGAAAATATAAGAAGAAACTAATACATTTTAATTTTGAAAGTTATGTTAATTTATCTATTAAACAAATTTACGTAGATAAATTCGCAAAAAAGATATTTTACTTTTCCTAGTATAAATTTATCTTGTATGATGTAATTTTTTAAAGACAACGCATTTTTTTTAAAGGGGACGGGCCATATTGTGGGAGGCTACGTGCGTTGACACATGACCCCATCCCATGTCAGGGAGACGGCGGCGTCTAAGTGAGAGCTGCGGCAAAGATGGCTGAACTACAATACGCCTCCCTTAGTCATAATTATGTTTTTGTTCCATTTGCTGTAGAAACCCTCGGCCCATAGAATCAAAGTGCTAAGCACTTCTTAAAAGACAAAACCTCTTCTTATCGCCTTTACTGGTGATAGGAGAGAAAAAGAGAGAGAGAGAGAAATAATCGGCATCGCCATTCAACGGGGGAATGCGGCTAGCATTCTTGCCACTATTCCACGCGGACATGACTTGTACAGTAATAACTAAGTGTACATTTATTTTGTATATATGATTAAGTATATTTGTAATTTTCTCTATTGTAAATAAAAAATAATGTTATTTAAAAATAAAGACAACATAATCTATGCACATAATAAAATTCTGAGTCGAATCTGTATATTAAATATTTTTTGGCAAATCTTATTAAAATAGTATTATTTAGTAATTATTATCGATACAGAGGCCGAATTTATAGTTTTAAATTTTTTTGTCTATCCGTTTGTCTGTGAACACATTACGAGAAAACCACTGGACAGTTTTTGAAAGGATTTGTCAAGTTTTCAACCTATAGGATACTTTTTACTACAGGAAAATATTTCATCTCTAAGAAATCTATACTAAAAGTTAATATTCTTGAACTTTAACTGAGAGCTGTACCTACTGCTGTAATAGTTTATGACACAGACAATAGTCCGATTGGTTATAATCAATTGATCAGATTGTACGACCCACTTCGTTTGCAAGGTCTTATTGCAACGTACTCGTATGTGCGACCGTTACTTTCGTAGTGTCAATTTGTTAATGGGCCGTTAGAAGTCGAAGATTGTTTAGATTCAAAATTTAGATATAGATATGATATATTATAAAATGTCTGTCGGTTCGTTGGCAAAATTGATTGTGTGATTATAATAACTAATAACATTTAATAGCTTACGTTTTAGAACTCAGGTCCCGCATTTGTTATAAAAGACAAAAAATTAAATCCTTCTTGGAATTCCATGCTCTTCTAAGCATTCTTATAAACTTTCTGGGTCGGTATATATGTATAATGCAAATCGAGGGTTATTAGTAATAGAATTATTTCACCTGTTCATCGCATCCTCAGACAGACCCCTCGTCTCGTTATTTTCATCGGGTATGAAGTAGTCAACATTGCTGCAATGCGTTTCTACCGGGGACAGGTATATCTCAACTGGAAAAAAGAAAATATACAAATTAATTTCGTTATAAAGAATTTGTATTTGTAAAAAAACACACTTATATATTATAAATTTAGCATTACATATTGCAAATTTACATTACCTATGCATTTTTTTTAAATACATGTAGGTGCAATGTATCGATTCATTATGAAAACTGCTAGATCATAATAATACTATAACTGCAGGTTGATAAATTTCCACGTGAACAAAGAACATAAAACCTAATTTATTATTATTTATTATGTACCTACTAAATTATAAGTTTATAAAATAACGAAGCTGCTATTACACTTAATTATATTAATCTTTCCTTCATTTTTACGAATTTCTATGTATCAGGTAAGGATATAATTTGTATCAAATATTTAAAATATTAGCCTATAAGCTATTGTATATTTCAAGTTCGCAACATTATTTTTGAATAATAAATGCCAACATATTGAGTCATCGTATTTGCTCACCGCCGTACAACTTACCAATATCCGTCTATAAATGATTAAAACTTATGAGAATTTTAGTTACGCATACAACAGTTCTTAAAATCTTCTGTTTACATATATAACAATGGTTTCATTTTATAAAATTAATTTTTAAAAATATAGGTACATATTTCGTTTAATGATTTAACCCATTGAAGATTAATTATTAATTTAGGTATTACGTGCATAGTACGTACTTATGTCAAGTTTGTTTTCAGTTTCGACATAAGGTAAAGAAGGGATTTTTTATGCAATACTTTTTTCTTATTTCTAAATATTGGTTTTTCATATAGGTTGTTATAGTAAGGGAGCCCATGATCGGATTTTGGGATTTGCTGAAGCGCGGCAGATTAACATAAGGGGAGATACCTTGCACTCTATTGAGTACCTCTACCATATATAAGTCCTCTGTATAAGATCGCGCGTCTATTGCAGCCGATCAGAATATTTAAAAAATATTTTGATAAGTTAAAAATCTTGAAACCTTATGGTGTGGTGGGCTAATTAACATGCTGAAAAGTGTGCCATTCAATAATCTACCGATTTTCACAAGCCGACGAAACAAAAATCGTCCACAAAATTTATGGACGATTTTTATCAAATTATGTCACGTTAATCTGCAGCGCTAGAGTTAATCCCAAAATCTCCTCTCCGGCCCCCCTACATAGCATTATAATAGCATTTTCCTTGTTATTGTTAATAAAGACAATTATGCGTAATTAAAAGTTTTGTGCATTTTAAAGTATTTAATAGTCATAAAATATGAATCGATCATCATAAGGCCTTTTCGATTCTTGGGCTTTAACTCTCGATTAAAGAAAAGTTTTTAATGATTAAGACAAAGATTAAACAAAATCATATACTACTGAAAATCGTTAACTCTTTTAGAAAAGTAACAATGTAATATGGGAATAACATATTATGACGGTTTGACGTAGTTTAAATAAGTCATTTTCATTTTATTTTTAGACTTAAGTAGGTACGTAATTAAAGCGACTTTGTATTTATACAAGGAGTTTTTTATGTAAAATATAGACTCCTCGACTGTAAAATATTGACTCCTTCACTAGTTACATATGTTAGGATTACTAATTTATATACCGAATTTATACTCTGTGTTTATAAAATGTATTTTCTGAATGTCAGTTGACACTTGTCAATATTTTAAAAAGTAGGTCAACCCTACTTTTCGTTATGAACTTTGTTAGAATATTTAGTTTTAGTCTTGCTTCATATTTGGTGGAAAGCAGTACAATATATACATTAATTACGAGAACAACGACGTTTTATTGGCCATCCCGTCATCTCAGAAGTGGGATGTACGGTGTTAATTCTACAACACATATCGGCTAACGACATTTTACATCGATATGAATATGAGTACATCAAAAAGTCCTCATCATAGTGAAACTGTAAGGCGTGAAAGTGGTACACCTACATTACCGAGGGACAAGCAAACGAACGACGTGACTCGATTACAATGTGAAGATGCTCGTGGAATTCATAGAAGTCAGGCGCGGCATCCACGACGACGTGAACGTAGTAGCAGTTCAAGCAGTTCAAGTTGTCGGAGTAATACGCGGGCTGACATGCGTAAACGACGAATTTCTGGAAGCCGTTCCAAGAGGCGAAAAGCAAGAAGACGTCGACACAGCAGCAGTGGCAGCCGAAGTTCAGCAGCCTCGCGGATTCGATCTCGAAGACGACGACAGAATACTGAAGTGGATAGTCAACAGGACCAGAGAAAGAGGGTACGTACTTCTGTTGATAATAGTTTGTATGATACTCATTTACTCATTCGGGAAATGTTACAAACAATGAACAATAGTCAAAGTCGAACCGACAAATTTCCAGTCCTAGGCAATGTTATACCCGAATTCGACCCAATGTCGAAAGATCAAACAGTGCATATGTGGATTAGTAAAGTAGAGGAGTGTTCACAGATATATGGTTGGTCGGATAGGCAAATTATTCATTATGCTTTGCCAAAATTAGCTGGGTTAGCCAAGTCATGGTACGAGGGATTACCCTCCTTATTATTTAGTTGGACTGAGTGGAAAGATAAATTATTAGAATCTTTTCCTAGTAGAGATGACTATGCAGAATTGCTTACAGAAATGTTATCAGTAAAAGCTAAAATAGGTGATTCATTAGAACACTATTATTACGCTAAAATAAAATTATTAAATCGCCTTGAAATTTTCCATAAACGTGCGGTAGATTGTTTGTTATATGGGTTAGATGATAGGTCAATCAGGTTAGGTGCAAAGGCTGCTAGTTTTACTGAACCTGAACAAGTATTAAAATATTTTAAATCTATTAAGCAACAGTTACGGGATACAGATAGAAGTAAAATTTCATTTGAAAAGAGAAACAATCAAAACACTATAAATAATAACATTAGCTCTAATAATAATAACAAACCAATACGTTCTCAAAATGATAAACGCACAGATTATCTGTTACAATTGTAATGAACCTGGTCACTATAGCTATAGATGCACAAAACGTATTTTGCGATGTACAATATGTAATAGAATAGGTCACTTGGCGGCAACATGTCCGAAGTTACCGTCAACAAGTAATGAAAAAACGGATAAAACTGTATTGAAAGTAAATAATGATTCAGATACAAATCAGAAATTTATTTTGGATGTAGAAATTAATGGTGTAACTATGCAAGGTTATATAGATTTAGGTAGTCAATGTACTTTGTTACGCCTTAACGTTGCACTAAAACTAAACTTAAAATGGAAAGAAAGTAACTTACCTAATTTGAGAGGATTAGGCAATAACTTAGTTCTACCAATAGGATCAACTATAGTAAAAATTAAAATTCAAAATATTATTGAAACCGTAGAGGTTTTTATTGTTGCAGATCATGTAATTAGTTATCCCATATTAGTAGGCCACTCATTTACCGAAAAACCGGGAATCACTATTACTAAAACACCCTTTGGCTTGATTTTTAAGCGATATCCTAATCAAAAGCTTTGTTTATTTTCGAACGATAAAGTCACGATACCTGCGAAAACCGTAGGAATAGTTAAAGTCACTTCAGATACTAATTATACAGGTTCTTTTTATGTTAATGGTACTATACGAGGAAAGCCTAAATATAATTTTTATTTAATGCCAGGCAAATACAATTTTGAAAATCAACAAAGTTCTATTTTAGTTTTAAATCTCTCTGACAATGAATTAAATATTAATAACAATATTTTAATTAATAGAGCTAAAATAATTGATAATGAAAAGACAGTTAATATTTTAAGTTCAGAAGATTTAAATAAACTAAATGTAGGTAACATTTTAAGTAATGAACAAATAGATAACTTAAAAAAATTACTTTACGAATTTAACACTTGTTTCTCGTCTGGTCTTAAAGACTTAGGATATACAGATATTGTTAAAATGGAAATAGAATTAACTGATTCTAAGCCTGTCGTTTATCGCCCGTATAGGTTACCATATGCAGATAGAGAACTAGTTAGGGTAATGGTCCAAGATATGTTAGATGCTGGAGTGATAAAAGAATCAAAATCCTCATACGCTAGTCCTATTGTTCTAGTAAAAAAGAAAACGGGAGATAAGAGATTGTGTATCGATTATCGTGCCTTAAATAATAAAACTAAAAAAGAACACTATCCATTACCTCTCATAGATGATCAGCTAGATTTATTATCAGGTAATAGTTTATTTATTTCTCTAGATTTATTTTCGGGTTACTATCAAATAGCTATTTCGGAAGGCTCTCAGAATAAGACAGCATTTGTCACTCCGGATGGACAGTATGAATTCACAAGAATGCCATTCGGATTGGCAAATGCTCCGTCTATATTTCAAAGGACAATGAATAAAATACTCGCAGAAGCTAAAATAAAATATGCTTTAATTTATATGGATGATGTTTTAATTCCAGCTAAGTCTTATTCTGAAGGAATAAGTAGGTTGCGTGAGGTTCTAAGTTTACTACAGAAGGGGGGGCTTACCTTAAAATTAAGCAAATGCCATTTCTTTTATGATAAAATTGATTTCTTAGGGTTTGAAGTTAGTGCGAACGGTATAAGACCGGGTTATCAAAAAACATTAGCTATTTCAGAATTTCCAAAACCAAAAAATATACATGATATTAGACGATTTATCGGTTTGACAAGTTTTTTTAGAAGGTTTATAAAAAATTTCGCGATTATTGCTAGGCCGTTAACTGACTTACTTAAGAAAAAATTTTCATGGAATTGGACAGATCAACAAGAAAATTCATTTATTACATTAAAAAGTAAATTAGTGGAAAGACCTATATTGGCACTCTATGATCAAAAGCTTGAAACTGAATTGCATACAGATGCGTCTAAAATAGGTATAGCTGGAATCTTATTGCAAAAAGGGGCTGATAATTTGTTACGACCTGTTGCTTATTATAGTCGAAAAAATACTAGTGAAGAGCAAAGGATGCATTCATTCGAACAAGAGACACTTGCGGTAATATCTTCATTAAACAGGTTTAGAGT